TGCCTAGTTCAGTCCTCATTGAGGGAACACTGCAGGTAATGATGTCCTGAGAGCGCACGCCTTAGCTGCACTCACGCAGAGACATGTAGGAGGAGATGTATGAAGGCAGCAGACCAAGAAGTGATTTAAAGATGAAAATGTACCAGTGGGAGAGTCTACGTGAAGTTAATGATGTCCAGTTAACCAGTGAATACAGAGTGCAGTGGTGGGTACAATAACCACAGCCAGTTATGAATCTTAGTGCACCATGATAGACAGCATCCAACATCTGCAGGGTTCTTGTAGGAGCGTTCATGTAAATAATGTCACGGTAATCAATGGAGGGAAGGAAAGTTACAGATACAAGGCATTTCCTAGCATTCAGAGTTAGACAGGATCTGTTTCTGAAAAAGAAACCCAGTTTAACTTTCAGTTTCAGAAACAGAGCTCATTTTCCTGCTGTGCATCCTCTTCTGATGTCCATTCAAAAAACCTTGTACAAAGAGTGAAGTGTCGAAGGAGAGAGAGATCCGGACTTGAAAGCCAGGTGGCTTTCCTGATGCTGAGACCACCTCCTTTCCTTCTCCTCTACCAGAAGAGGTGATGGCAGGATCTCTGCATCTGGGCTGTGGTGTCTTTGTGTCCGGACAGGTTCAGTCCAGATTCATTGAATGATGGACTCCTCCTTCTGCACTCGCTCCTACTGGGCAGTCCGAGTGGCTTCTTGGGCCAGGTGCTTGGCCCAAGTCATCCATCTGCTGGGTTTATGTCGTGGTCTTGGCATTCTGTCACAAGCTGGAGCGTTGGTTAAATCCAGATGTAGGCAGGACTCAGAGACCTAGGAGATAAAATAGAAATACTTTAATTAATACAAACAAAATAACTTTTGTTGCAGTGAAACTCACTTGACCAGGAAACACATAGAGAAACACTAGGAACCAACGAGACATCATCAGACAATGCCCAGACAATGAATAACGGAAGGACACAGACTTGTATATCTACAGAGATTGACGAGATATAAACACAAACACCTGGAAAGGATCGCAGGTGACACAGGGAAGGCCTAATTACCAGATGGGACACTAGGGAGTGACAGGGCACAATGCACCACAAGGGGGCACCATCCTCACACAGGACCCCCTGAATGCCGAGCAGAACTTTTTCCGAGCGATGGCCATTCCTCACAGCAGCAGAGAGCTCCTTGCTGCTGCCGACATCCAACTGCAATCCTCTTGCTATCATGAGCCACGTTTCCCACCAGGATCTGTTGCCAGGTAGACAGGAATGCATCCACAGCGTCTCCTTTTCAACTCATTTGGGATTTAGGGCTGTAGATGAGGTATTATTTTGAAGTTTTGAAATGTTAATTAGCTGCTCCCAGTTGTAAAAAAAAAAAATCAACTTGTTGTTATGGATACGCATCCAAATGTCCAAAAGTAAAAAGGTTTCAGTAAAAATCCTTCCAGCTGCACAGCATCCAATACTAGAGGGAATGATTCACAGACTGGTACCCCTGCTACCTCTCTATGAATTGTCTATGACTAATCAGTTTCCTTGTGTCTTTCTAGTTGTAACCCTTCTTCTGAGAGGCCAAGCCTCGAACTCCACTCTCAGAACATTTCTCAGTTCAGCAGCAGCAGCAGCTTTAGTCAAATAATCTTTGAGATTATTTTCTAATATTAAATAACCCTCTTGAAATGCTTCTGTGTCTGTACTTTCACAATGGAAATAAAATCCATAATTGAGGAGGAAGTTGACAAGTGTTATCCAGCAAACCACTGCATTTCTACAACTTGGCATGTTCGACCTCGACTCCACACTCCAGCTATGGTGCCCTTGGGCAATGGTTGCTGCAGCAACCCTACCAGCTTTGTCGATTTAGTGGCTGCCAAGTTTGACGAGGAGAGTGCATGTATGTCTGAGATCAATGAGGCACACCTGTTCTATTTTTGCTGCTGTTGTTGCAGACACTCACCTTCTCTCACAGACACGTCAAGCACCCCATGAGATGATTTATTATTAATGGGTTTTAGGGTAAAAAATTTTTTTTCTTTTATTTATTTCATTTTGCTTAATTGATTTGAGTCTTTTTTATGTTTGTGTTAAAGCTATCAAATCTAAATATGACACAGGGATGAAACAGATGCTGCTTTAAACCAATATAGAGAACCAGAGCCACAGTTTGACCCAGTCAGAGCAGAGCAGGGTGGGTCATGCTGTCTGGTTCATGTTGAGCCCAGATGTAAGTTGCAGAGAGAAACTACAGGTGAAATCTCACATGCAGCAAACCACGGAGGACACCCTACTACCCTAACAGAACCAGCCGCCTTTTCATGAAGGTGATGATATATAATAAATTATTAAATGCTTACATATTAAACATATGTGTTTGCACGTGACCAATTCACTGCAGTCGGGGGAGATACCTGAACTAATACACCCTCATCTCCACCTGCATTTACCTGCAGTTACATTGTACAGACAAACGTGTGGTACTTCCTGTTTATAACTTGTATTCAGCTGCTCATGGGGTTGGCTACTGGCTTTTATCATCTTTTACATTTTTCCAAACGTTAAGTTTTTGTAATGGAATAAACTGTATTCCACCCTCTAAACACTCAGGGTAACACGTGTCTGAGTTGCATATTCCCCAGTGACAACATTTAATCATTTTTTCTGACGATTGTGCACAAAATACTCATGACAGCAACGCCTCCGTAAAACAAAACACTGATGGGTTGCAGCTCTGCAAGTAAGGGGCGTTTACCTTCGGGACAAATTGCGGTTGCTGATTGGTCAGTTGCTGACATGCCTACTTGATTGATTGACAGGTGATGTTGAGGATCCGACTCATGCAAAAAATAAATAAAAAGCAGTGCTGCCAGTGGAGGCAGAGCCAGACCTGGGTGGAGGCGAGGTGGCCCAGGTGCAGCGGTAGCGGTATTCTGTGTTTTTATGTTATTAATAAATTTAAATTAAAAAAACGTAGCACCAGCCCTTGGGCCCATACAATCAGACCAGCCCACCAGGAAATGTCCCAGTCCTCCCAATTAGCCACTTCCGGCCTGTGTGAGACCAAGCTCCAGTTCCGTGAGCGAGACAGATAGAGATGTGCACTGCTGTGGGAGTGTGCAGCCTTTTGAGCTTCTCTCACAGTGAGAGAGGCTGTTTCTGCTGCTTCATCCATCCATCCATCATCTTTATCCGCTTCTTCCTTTTCAGGTTGCGGGGGTTCACTGGTGCCCATAGCTAGCAATCACTGTGCGAGAGGCGAGGTACATCCCTGGATAGGTCTCCAGTCCATCACAGGGACACATAGAGACAAACGAGACAAACAACCATTCACTCTCTCACTCACACCTAGGGACAATTTAGAGTTCAAATTCAAATTCAAAAATACTTTATTAATCCCAGAGGGGAAATATTTGTTGTAGTAACTTGTTATCCTCATTTCATTAAGAGATGTTATAGATGCTGATGGCTGTAGGCAGGAAGGATCTCTTGTAAAGGTCCATCCCACAGTGGATCCTAAGAAACTGGCTGCAGATGCCGTCCGATCCGTCCACCCGGACTCGGCTGGCCTCTCTGTTCCAACGGGCTGTAGGACCGCCCGAATGCTGGGCAGAACTCCTCCCAGAGCGATGGCCACTCCTCCCAGCAGTCTGCCTAGCTCCTCGTCGCTGTGGACAGCCAACTGTAGGTGCTGAGGGACGATCCTGTCCTTCTGCTGTCATGAGCTGTGTTTCCTGTTAGTTCCAGGATCTCAGTGGTCAGGCACTCAAGCACAGCTGGCAGGTAGATGAGAATGCGTCCACAGAGCATCCCTTTCAACTCATTTGAGATTTGGGGCTGTAGTTGAGATATTATTTGAGCTTTTGAGATGTTAATCAGCTGCTGTTGGTTTTAGAAAACTGCCTTGTTGCCATGGTTACGCATCATAACAAATGTCCAAAACTAAAATCGTTTCAGTAAAAATCCTTCCAGCTGCACAGCATCTGATACCAGAGGAAACAATCATCCAAAAAATATGATTTACATCCAAAAAAAGAGGAATTAAAGTTTCCAAAAGTAAAATCTCAGAATGAAAGTAACAGAGCTGCTCCAACATGCAGCCACCTTGAGCAGCACAATTCTAGAACTGCTAAGCTCTAGAATTGTGTTACCACAATTACCAGTAAAACTACAGATGAATTACAGTTACCAATCAGTCTAACATGCATGTTTTTGGTCTGTGGGAGGAAACCCGAGTACCCAGAGAAAACTCACGCATGCACGGAGAGAACACATAAACTCCACCCAGAAAGGCCCCTGGACGGGGATTTCAGCCGGGGGACCTGCTCGCTGAGAGGCAGCAGCTCTACCAGTTGCGCCACCGTGCTGCAAAACGATAAAGCCGATAAATGAAAATGAGGTCAATAATTTTCATTTATCATGCGATTAATTGATTTATTGTTTATCGCGACAGGCCTACACTTTAGTTTTAGGTGCAGTTGTTACAATTTATTTGAGGTTTTACTGTTAAGTTAGTGATTTAACAGAACCCTTATAGGACTTTACCTTCATATGTTCTTTCAGCTGAGATTCCATTTATAGACACTGATTATTTTCCCATTACCACAATTTTTGTGTGTTTTATTCCAGTTTATAAATAATTTATAACCATTAAAACATTTTTAAGTTTAAACAACACAAACCAAAGGGATATGATTCTTGATCTATGGTTGCTCAAGTTGTTCTGATTCTTTGGTGCTGCTCCAAATGTCATCAGCTCATTCGGTGGATGTTCTTACTCGATGGATGACCTTTAGATAACACCATGAGGTGACTTTCTTCATCTCTTTGATGAGAAATCAGATCCTCTTATTGATTATCTCCCATCCAACCTGACGTTCTTCAAGGTTTTCATGTTTGAATCTCTGCAATAAAGTTTCAGTTTTATTCCTGCTTTCGCTTTGCAAACATAACTTTCAGTAAAGTTTTCCCACTTTCTAATGTTTCAATTCATTTCTTCTCCTCAGCCTTGCGTTGCACCCAGAGCGCTCCTTGGTAGCGACAGGCCAGGTGGGGATGAACCCCTATGTGTGTGTGTGGGACTCCTTCACTGTCCAGACTGTCTCATTTCTGCGTGATGGACACACACATGGCATTGCCTGCCTGGCATTCAGCGCTGACGGACAGGTGACACACACACACACACACACACACACACACACACACACACACACACAAACAGACCAATTTCCAAACAGATTATTAATAAAGTATCTGAAGATTGTTGTTAGAGAAAACACTTGAATCAAACTATTAGAAACATCAGACTCCACTAGGCCTAAAAGCATTTCAAGATTTATTGTTTGTTAATATTATACACAGAAATTCACAATTATTGTGTCACAACCTAGATTCACATCTAAACTCATCATAGACAGAATTTAGTGGAAATATATATATTTTTTCATTTTGACACTACTGTATTCTGTGTTTCTACTATGTATACAGGAAGTTATTACACTCTGTACTGATGCTTGACTGGATTTGCTCTCATTTTGGACATGGCCATACTGGGATTCATTTTCAACCAGCGAGTTTAATTCCTGAGAACGGCCTGTTATATATGGTGCCTAAAAAAGTAATACCCCTGGATATAGTTTTATGCATTTAGTGTTGCCATTAATCAATTGTTGTGAATATAAATTGGCCTTTTGACAACTAAATTTAAAACATTTCATTGTCAAAGTGGAAATAAATGTATACAGATTGATATCAAATAAATGAAAATATGTCATGTAAAATAGTGACTGAATAAAAAAACACCACTGTGGCTGGCCCAGTTTAACTCAGTGAATAAAAAACATTGAAAAGGATTATGCGGGGTGGATATGAAAGGATTTCCTAGGCTTTAAACATCCCAACAGTTCTGTTAAGTCTCTCATCAAAAACTAAAACCAAGACTGACACTAGAATTTGCCAAACATCATGTGGAAGATTTCATGGTCCAGTACGTTTTGGCAGCTGGTTTTAATCAAGATTAAATTAGATTTTTTTTCTGCAGTTTCTTATCACCACTGTCAAGTGGTTTTCACGTTTTTGGGTTTTAATCTGCAGTTTCCCCCCACTTGAATGGGCAGCTTGTTTCAGAAAATTTTGGACTGGACTTCACTCAGTGACCAAGAGTCAGTTCTTTTTTTCCAACTCTTTTACGTTGAAAGTTGTTGAGGTGAACAACCAGCTCCTTCTTCCTCTTTTTTTCATGAACCAAGCCTTGGACCTGCAGGATCTTTTCCCAAGTTAAAACTCTCCCAGCACTTCTTTCCCACGTTGTTTGCTTCTTGATGCTCTGAGTGAACACCTTCGAACTCCTCTGATCATCAAGTCTTCTCCACCTGGAGCAAACAGTCTGCTGCCTCCTGGCTGGGAAAGCTTAAACTGGTGAAGAACTCGGGCAGCAGTTGTAAGCTCAGTCTCTCCCATCTCACCTGAAGCTGGCTTGAGTGGTCACGTGTGTCTTGGTGGTTTCTCTCACTGTTCTTCTTCTTGAGTTTGTGAAGACAGCCTGCTCTTGGCAGATTTACACGTATTCCTTGATGATTTTCTTGATGATGGGTTTAATGGGCTGTTCGGGCTGCTGTTTAATACACCGTTTAATATACAGTATTTACATTACTAGTGTTTAGTGCATATCTTAGATCCTTATATACTGTTTCTTTTTATACTTTATATTTTTTGCTATATTTGGATGTAACTGGGGCCTTGTACACAATTTCGTTCCACCGCATGTACCACGTGTGATGCGAATGACAGTAAAGAACCTTGAACCTTAACAGAACTTGCTGGGATGTTTAGGACCTCGCAAATCTTTTTAACCAAATACTAGAAAATTGTTTGCACACTTTGGATTTTGAAGGAGATAAAAATAATAAAATAATAATAATAATTCTCAGAAAATTTCTTTATCTCTTTTTTTGGGGGGGTGGTGGGGAGGGGTTAACAAAACTAGTTTTGGGAATCCTAACTGACCTTAAAACAGTAAATGTGTATTTTTACACATTGTATGTAAATATCTGATTTCATCTGGAGTTTTTCTCATTTACACCTAACAAATCATAATTAGTGCTCAGAGAATGTGTTCTGGATGACTTCCAGATACTACCACTCCAAACGTAATTTCATTTATAAAATCGACTTCCTTGTGTTGGATAATGTCAGTTTGCACTCTAATTTGAGTGTTTCATAAAAATCTGTCCAGTGATTCATGACATATTTTGCTAATAGACAGAAAGTATTGACTTTAAGAGCTAATGGCAATGTTTAAGCAAAAATGTTGCAAAATGTGTATATACTCCAATATCTGTTGTGAATGGCTCTCTGCTATGAACACACCAACATTAGCTGAGGTGTCATATTAAAACGTAATGACTTCAAAAGTTAATCAGCTGTAGACGTACATCCAATGATTACTTTCACAAAGTTTCATTAAAATTAGTCCTTTGGTTCAAAATATATTTTTCAAACAGACACATTGTGGACACTAATAGTTTATGACAAGTTAAATCAAGCAATCTAACAAGACATCTTTAGTGTCAGTCAGCGCTCTTTTTATAAGTTGGGAATGACTCAACGCTACTTACTATCTTACAAATTCTTAGCTCAATATCTGTAAAATGAACTTTTAATATCCATTCTGATGTTTGGTGTGGCTGCTGCCGTTTTGAGTAGAGTTAAATCTAAAAGTTAATCAGTTGTTTCTTTAAAATCCATGCAGCGGCTCATGAAATATTTTGCTAACAGACATATACAAATCAATTCTATTCAATCCAGTCTATTTATATAGCGCCAGGTCACAACAGAAGTCATCTCAGGGCACTGGACCAAAAAAAAACCCAAACATGCACAAACATTATAAAAGCTAATCAGTAAAAGTTCTCTATCTAAAGAAGCCAGGAGACTTGTCGAATTTTCAATTTGTCGCCGTCTCCCATCCTGAGCAAGCACAAAGGCGACAGTGGGAAGGAAAAACTCCCTTTTAATAGGAAGAAACCTCCAGCAGAACCAGGCTCAGGACGAGCGATCGTCTGACCGGCTGGACTTGAGAGGAACAGGAAGTAGAAACAAACAGACCAATCAGGGACAAGAACAGTGATAAACACACTATCATCCAGTTGTGTATTTCAAAGATCAAAGCATTTTAATCTTGAGTCACCTCTTACTTTTTGCAGCTGTTTCGTCAAATGCAAACTTTTTTTTTTGTTAATTGATTCTCTAATCCTAGATTTAGAAAAGCAGACACTTACAGTTCAGATGTCAGCATTTGGTGTCTCTGCTGTCCAGAGTGATCAGAGTTTGATTCCTCTGACTTTAGTTCAGCTGGTTTAAACGGCATCTTTTCTGACAGCATGACACCAAAAGTCATTGATATGTTAAATTAAATCAAAATGTAAGATTTAGTATTTGGAATCAAATTAGGATAATTGAAAACATATATTTTTTTATGTCTGTCGGTCCGTCCATCGCAGAGATTACTGAACAACAGGTTAGCTGGTTAAAAATACAAATCCTTTATTTAGCTTCAGTTTCAACTCATGTGTTTCACATTTTGACAGGAAACATAAACATGTTGCTGAAAGGAAACGATCGCAGCTGCTGCGTCACAAAGATGTGCTTGTGGCTGCAGTTTGAACAGTCTTGTATCAAAGGAAGATCAGGATCAATAAAATAATCATGAATCTACTTTGATAATAAATCAAGTGTGCAGGCCATGGGTGCAGCTGATTTATTTATAAATTAGTTCCATTTTTTTTATTTTTTAAACCTGGAACACTAGAATGTTCTGCAGAAAGACTGAAGCTCAGCACATACCTTATAGTCAGTGTCAAGGAAACGAGAGATTCCCAAACGATCAGGTGTCGACTTCTTCATATTTGTTACAAAGCTTTGGAGAACAGTCAGCACTCACTGAAGATCCATGCATTTACAATCATCTGGTTCTGACCCGTTCTGAGCTAGCTGGTAGTTTATAGAATCGCCTAGGTGCCAGTCCCCCCCCCCCCCCCCCGCTATTGTCATGTTGTCAAAGCAGCTAGAAGACTAAAACACTTTTTTTTTTACTCTCTAGGAGAATGTTGTCTAACATATCACTCAAACCTTGGGCATAATAAAGATGCTCTCCTTACTGACCGTCGCCTCAAGAATGATTGTAACAAGATAAGGTAGAACTTTATTGATCCCACAGGAAATTGTTGTGCCAGAGTTTCAGTACAAAGGAACATACACACGAATCACAAGATATAAAAATAACAGAAATACCAACAATTAAGTTGTAAAACAGGTGCAGACAGAAACATTAAAGAGTTTATTGTGGTGCAGGATTCATTTTATTGTCCCATGTGCAGAAAAGAGGCAGGCGTGTAAAAGTTTGAAGGACTTCCTGTGTTGTTCTGGAGCACCTCGGTGGTCTCAGTCTACGACTGAAGGTGCTGCTGTAAGAGTCCAGGGTGTCATGCAGGGGGTGTGACGTGTTGTTCAGGATCTGGAGCAGTTTCCTCAGTATCCTCTGCTCAGACACCTCTGTCAGAGACTGCAGGTCCACTCCCTGAACTGAGCCAGCTCTCTTGACGAGTCTGTTGGCATCAGCTTTCTTCACCCTGCTGCTCCAGCACACCACAGTGTAGAAGAAGACGCTGGAGACCACCGAGTGGTAAAACATCTGCAGCATGGTCCTGCAGATGTTAAAGGACCTGAGTCTCCTCAGAAGAAAAAGGCGACTCTGTCCTTTCTTGTAGAGGGTGTTGGTGTTAGCTGTCCAGTCCAGTTTATTGTCTAGATGGACCCCCAGGTACTTGTAGCAGTCCACAGTGTCCACCTTAGTACCCTTGATGTTGATAGGGCTGGAGGGGCTGATCTTCATCCTGTAGTCCACCTGCAGCTCTTTACTTTTTCCAATGTTAATAATATAGGGAAAGATCATGGAAACATTTGAATATCATTAATACCAACAAGAGGGAGCAGGTAAATCTGTAAAGTCTACATTAATAATGTGAAATAATACAGCATGAGTGTAGTCAGTGTTTAATGTGAGAAACGAGGAGAGGGAGAAAAACGTCACGTTCCAGTTATACAAGATGCTAAATCCTTGTCCATCAGCACATAGCCTCAGGTTTTCTGTCTGAATATTTTGCTGAATTACAAAAAGTCAGTTTCGTCTAAATGTATGACGGCTTCTGGTGTGAATGCTGACTCAGCTCATTCTTGAGTCCCTCCACTGTTTCCCTTGTCTTTAGTTTTCTGTTCATTTTGAAATCTACCTCTGCATAGTTTACTATTTTAGCCAGACAGTTTTATTTTTGCAACTTTTATGTATTTCAAAATATTAAATTTTATTTGCAAGTACTTTCACTGTAGAAATACTTTAAGATTTCCATCAATTCCTCTGAAATCTTGTTTTATTTAAAGTTTTCTTTAGTAAACTGGCTCTATTTTGTCTTTTTTGCTACTTTTAGTTTTAAGCTAATGTTCAGCTAGTTTTAGCTAGCATATTGCTACTTTTAGTTCTTAGCTATTGTTCTGCTAGTTTTAGCTAGCATATTGCTACTTTTAGTTCTTAGCTATTGTTCTGCTAGTTTTAGCTAGCGTTTTGCTACTTTTAGTTTTTAGCTGTTGTTCTGCTAGTTTTAGCTAGCGTTTTGCTACTTTTAGTTTTTAGCTGTTGTTCTGCTAGTTTTAGCTAGCGTTTTGCTACTTTTAGTTTTCTGTTCAGTGCCCTGAGATGACTTCTGGTGTGACTTGGCGCTGTATAAATAAACTGAATTGAACTGAATTTGAGGTGTTCTTGCTAGTTTTAGCTAATATTTTTCTACTTTTAGTTTTTAGCTTCTGCACTGCTACTTTGGCATTTAGACAGCTTTTGCAAACTTGTAACACTTAGCTATTCATTAGAAAATGTTTGTTTTAGCAAGCCTTTTGGTACTTTTGTTAGCTTGTGCTATTTTTAGATAGCCTTTTGCGACTTTTAGCTCACCTTTTGCTTTTTTGACTAGCCATTTGTTAATTTTAGCTTATAGGAAGGTATTTGCCAGTTTTAGCTAAGCTTTTGCTATCTTTAGCTTCTAGTTAAACTTTTATTACTTTTTGCTACAAGGCTTTAGCTATTTTTGCTTTTAGTTGGCTTTTTAAAACTTTTAGCTTTAGTTAGACTTGATACTTTTAGCAAGCTTTTTGCTACTATTAGCTTTAAGCTAGTGTTCTGCTTCTATTAGGGTTAATAAGTCATAGTTTCTTCAGCTAATTTCTACACAGTCATTCAGAATTCACGCAGATTTTTCACACAAAATGTCTGTATGTCTCTAGTCATATTTTTTCTCCAGGCTTCAGCCAGATGGTTCTGTGTTGTTTCTCTGCAGCGGTTAGCTTCTGTGGGTCTGGATGCGAAGAACACAGTGTGTGTTTGGGAGTGGAAGAGAGGGAAGGTCTTGGCTTCAGCCACCGGACACTCAGACAGGGTCAGAGTCACCACTCTTCTTCTGTTTTTGTGTTGAAGCATGTTAACCAACATATCTTCTTGTTATTTATTTTTTTTATTTAATTTACGATATTTACTTTTCAGATATTTGACATTTGCTGGGATCCATTTCAGCAGAATCGTTTGGTGAGCTGTGGAGTCAAACACATCAAGGTAACGCCCGATAATTTCTGGTTCTGCTGATGGTTTTATTTTCTGTCAGTTGGGTAAAACAAACACAAAATCCAACACTGAGGCGATAAAGTACATGTGATAAAGGAATCATCTAGCTTAACACTTAATGTTAAATGTGGAATATTTGAGGATAGGTTAGATCTGCCAGGCCAAGTGGTTTGCTGTATTTACTTAGCTAATTTTTTGAAGTCCTTTTTTTATTATTATTTTTTCCATAAATTAATAAATTATTTTCTTTGAATTTATGTATTTATGTATAATTTTAGTTTTATATACTTAAAAATGTTTTGTATTTTATTATCTACATCTATTTATCTGATTTTTGCAACAGTTATATTATTCATATTTATATTGTAGTTTTACTTTTTATTTAATGTTTTCCTTTTCCTTTACTCTTTTTGTTTCTTCATAAATAGTTTTTAATATTTTGTGAAACTATTTAATATTTTATTTAAATTTGCTTGATTTGATTATTTTTTCATGTATAATATATATATATATATATATAGTTATACAGTATATACAGTTGTGTCTGAGTGGTTAGAGCAGTTGTCCTCCAATGAGAGAGTTGGGGGTTGGATTCCACCAGCAGTCACATGTTGAAGTGTCCCTGGGCAAGACACTGAACCCCTCATTGCCTCTGATGTGTGTCCCATCAGTGTATGAATGTGATCTAAAGCTCTGATTAGTCTCTATAGAATGATGAGTTAGATTATCTTTGTAGAGATGTAGTAGAGTGATGTATGAATGTGTGTGGAGGGAAACAAGGACACAGGTTGTGTTGTTAAGTGTTTTGAGTTTCTTGAATAGATAGAATGTTGCTATATAAGTACAGTCCATTTACCATTTAAAATTATTACTTTGGACATTGTATAACTTCTTCTTTACATTTAGTTAAGTTTTTTAATCATCAAGGAAGAGCATTAAAAGGTTGCACCAATTTATTATCAGTTGTGATAACTGGTGATGGATGGGTTAAATGCAGAGAGCCAATTTTGCCATTTTGTGATGTCAATACATAACACATTATTATTAATATTATTATTATGATAATGAAAATTATTTAAAAGGTCAAGAAAAAATTTTGAGAGGTAAAAATAATTATAGAATTTGTGGTATTTAAAGGTGCATGGCATTTTTCGAGTTCAAGTAGGTTTTATTGTCATTCGCATCACATGTTGTACATGAGGTGGAACAAAGTTGTGTACACAGGGCCCCAGTTGCATCCAGCAACAACAAAAATATAAATTGTAAAAGAAAAAGTAATAATATCTAAGATATAAACTAAGAATTAGTCTAAACACTAATAATGCAAAACAATATGCAAACAACAGCAGCACAAACACAAGTCTGTGTGAGTTTATGAGTGCAAATGAATACAGCAGCATGAAATAATCAGCAGCACATATCACCAATTAAAGTGGCATTACAGTATTTTTTTTCTTTTCACAGTGATTATCCTGGTTAGAGATTCATGAGTCTAACAGCCTCAGGGTAGAAGCTGTTCCTCAGTTTAGTGGTTCTACACTTAATGCTCCTTAACCTCCTTTCTGAGGGGAGCAGGGTAAAAAGTGTGTGTGCTGGGTGAGTGAGGTCCTTCATGATGCAGGTGGCTCTCTTCCTGCATCTGGAGGTGTAGATGTCTGTGATGGTGGGGAGGCTGTGCAGCCTTCACCACTCTCTGCAAAGCTTTTCTTTCTGCAGCTGTGCAGCCTCCATGCCACACGATGTTGGAGCACAGGATGCTCTCCACTGCACACCTGTAGAAGGAGGTGAGGACTGAGCTTCCCAGACCAGCTCGCCAAAGCTGCCTGAGGAATTTGAGGAAGTAGAGGAAGTAGAATAGGAAGTTTTATTTAGTCACTTAATAAAAATACTTCCTTATGTTGTTTTACTTTGTTTTGTTTCTGTCTGCAGTTCTGGTCACTCTGCGGAAATGCTCTCACTCCAAAACGGGGCATTTTTGGGAAGACGGGTGACTTGCAGACCATCCTATGTGTGGCGTCAGCTAAAGATGACATCACATACTCAGGGGCACTCAATGGAGACATTTACGTCTGGAAAGGCCTCAACCTGATGCGAACAATTCAGTCCGCCCACGGAGTGAGTTTCCAACTAAAATAATCACTTCCACAAGACAAGAACATCAGTAACACTGGTCGTCTCAGTTAAGATTTACACAAAATGCTTTGACTGATTGTTTGATTGTATTTGTGTACGTTAGCCTTGTGGGTCTTTTGATAAGCTGACTAAATAAAACCAGAAAATAATTTTCAGAAACGAATCAAATGACTAAAAGTTTGGTTCCTTCTTAAAAAGTTAACAAATACCTTCTGTGAAATATATTGTTTTGATTCTCACCAACGAGTGGATGAAGAAATGGTCATGTCTGCATGTAGGCTGGCATCTTCAGCATGTATTCCTGCGAGGAAGGGTTTGCTACCGGAGGCAGAGACAGTTGTATACGACTGTGGGACGTGGACTTCAAACCCATCACCAAGATTGACCTGCGGGAGGCTGAACAGGGATACAAAGGTACAATACATCAAGAATTTCTGCAGTTGTTTCTTTGCTCCTCTCCTCACATTGATGCAGCCTCTTGTGCTTTGACTTTGTAACACAGCTCTGCACAGCGAAGCACTACACTGTGCATGAATTTTACTTTCTTAATCAGCACTTTTATTCAATTAAAACTCCATTTATCTTAAGTCTTACTTCAGTTTGCTTATTCCTATTTGTTGCTGAGTTGGAACAGAATCTGAACCAAACTGTGAATCTGGGAGACTTTTATTCACCTAATGAGAGCGTTGACATTTACAGTATCTTTGTGCAGTAACACACATCAACCAGGTATTTCAACTTTTTTTACAATCCCTTGGACCACTGTTTCTTTATTCTAAGGAGACAATCCCTCCCTAGACTGAGAGAAGGGTGAAAAAAAGAGGAAAAGGTCATTAATAAAAAATGTATTTTGTTCATTGATGCCTTTCCTTTAGAGTGTGACATTTCAAGAATATCATCATCTGATGGGGTTTTTCTTTTCTATGAGTCTTGGGGAGAGCTGAGAGGTAAAGTTTATCCTGTCTTCAACAGGAAATTGGACCTTGGGGGATGAAAGTGTAAACCTCTGCTCTGTCTTCTCAAACCTAAATGTTGTTTCTAAGCAGAATGAGGAGATATGTTTCTTCGGGAGGAGCTCAGGAGAGAACCACTAATCCCATGGCTTTATTTTTGTCTCTTGTTGCGGAGCAGAGAAGGGGAATTGGAAATACCCTTCATCTGTTAATCCGTCCGTGCATGTTGTGAGCATGATAACTTGAAAAAAAAGTGAGGTATCTATGATGGACTTTTGCGACCTGTCCAGGGTGCACAGCACCTCTCGCACAGTGACTGCTGATTATGGGCACCAGTGACCCCCGTGACCTGGAAAGGAAAAAGCGGGTCAAAATAATGGATGAATATATAGCTAAATGAGGTATCAACGTCCATTTTGGTGTACGTCTACATCTAGACATAAGAAAGTTTTCGTTTGAAAATTGGGTTTATCATGTTCTGCTTAAATAGTTAAACCCAAGTACAGGAAGGCAAGTGAGAACTCCACAAAGTAAAATACTTAAGTTTATTTGCAACAAACAAAACGAAATGCTGGCGGGGCAGCAAACTTATTTTTAAGGTCGGAAAATCAGAATCAGAATAAGTTTTATTATCATTGCACCGAGATACAACAAGAGTATGTCCGTACAGTCATCCGAAAGATGGGCGGAGTGCATGTAGCTGCTGCCATAAGCACGGCCTTCTTATCCTTTTCAGAATACTTTTTTTTAGATAGAAAAGGGGACAATGCCATGAGGAGAGGGTAGTGGCATTACAAAAAAAGATCATGGAACACGTAGGGAGACAGAACACAACAGCCATCAGAATAATCCAGAGACAAATGACAAGACACAAGGAAGCTGAATAAATAGAGACACTGATGAGGAGGAACGACAAACACCTGCAGTGATTGAAATTAGACACAGGTGAGACAAGAGCTGAACACAAGGAGGAGGGTCACTGAGGGGTGAATGAAACAGGAGGAAACAGAAAAGACAGGACTACACCCCAGAAACCCCACAGTACCTCCCAACCAAGGGATGGCCCCTGACATCCCAAGAAGGGAGCTACATCCAACTTGGATGGGAGAAGGGAAAAAACAGGATGGATGGCAAACAGAGGAACACAAGGACCAATAAATAAAAAAACAGCAGGAAGGAACCTGGGTAACATCAAACCTAAAGGACCACAGAACCCCAACCCCCTGAGACAAGGTAGATGACAAGGAGGCCAATCAGAGTGGGATAGGCATCTCAGGTGGCTGCCCTAGATGTATGACCTGGATGACCCTTAATTTTCTGCTTTTAAACTCAGACAAGACAGAGGTTTTGATTTTTGGACCTGTCTCTCGGTTGGCCTGGGAACGCCTTAGAATCCTCCCAGAGGAGCTGGAAGAGGTGGCTGTGGAAAGAGATGTCTGGGCCTCCCTGCTCGATCTGCTGCCCCTGCGACCTGACTTTGGAACAAGCGGAAGCTAATGGATAGATGGATGGATGGATATAAATGGATCAGAATCAGAATAAGCTTTATTATCATTGCACCGAGATACAACGAGAACATGTACATGCAGTTGTCTGGAAAATAATAATAATAATAATAATTTTATTTAAAAAGCGCCTTTCAGGACACCCAAGGACACTTTACAGTAAAACATATCAGAAAGATTGTGTTAAAACAAACAACAAGCACAGTGCAAAGATCAACAAGAATAAATTGAAGTGTAAAATACATAAAGAATATAAAATATATAAAGAACATAAAATACATACAGCAAAGTTAAAGATAAGCGAGTCTAAAGAGATGTGTTTTCAGAGCAGTCTTGAATAGAGAAAGAGAGGTGGTGTTTTGTAAGTCAGGGGGTAGAGAGTTCCAGAGGTGAGGGGCAGAGCAGGTGAAGGCCCTGCTCCCCATGGTGGAGAGGAGGGCAGAGGGTACATGGAGGTGTAGTGAAGAGGAGGATCTGAGAGAGCGAGAGGGGATGGAGATGTGTAGGAGGTCAGATAGGTACGGAGGGGCAAGGTTGTGGATAGCTTTGAAAGTGAGAAGAAGAATTTTGAAGACGATGCGTGATTTAACCGGGAGCCAGTGGAGCTGCTGCAGGACAGGAGTGATGTGGTTATAGGAGGAGGTTTGAGTGATGACACGGGCAGCTGAGTTCTGAACCAATTGCAGCTTCTAGAGAGATTTGTTGGGGAGGCCATAAAGAAGGAAGTTGCAGTAGTCAATCCGAGATGTCACAAGATGTGCACTAGGATGGCTGTGGAGCGGGGTGTGAGGGAAGGGCGGAGACGGTTAATATTTCTGAGATGGAAATAGGCAGACCGAGTAACATTGTTGATGTGTGAAGTGTAGGAGAGAGTGGTGTCGAGGATGACACCAAGACTCTTGACCTGAGGCGAGGGGGATAGCAGACAGTTGTTAAGGGGGATGAGAAGATGTTCTGATTTTGAAATTGAGTTTTTGGTACCAACAAGAATGATTTCTGTTTTGTCGCTGTTTAGTTGTAGAAAATTGTTAGAAAACCAGTGATTTAGCTCATTGAGACAGTTGGTGAGGATGGAGGGTGGGTGGAGTTTGGTTTTGTTGACAAGTAGAGCTGTGTGTCATCAGCATAACAGTGAAAATGGACACCAAATTTACGGAAGATGTGACCTAGAGGAAGGAGGTAAATGATGAAGAGGAGGGGTCCGAGGACAGAGCCTTGGGGGACACCTGTGGAGACGGGGGAAGATGGACGGAGTGCATGAAGCTGCTGCTCTAAGCGCGGCCTCTCTTATCCTTTTTCAGAATAATAATCTTATATAGGAAAAGTGGGAGAAACATGAGGGTAGATAGTGGTATTACAAAAAAAGATCTTTCACATCTTGTCTATCAGGACACGATTTGAGACATCAAAAAACTCTACCAGCAAGCACATTTAAAAACATGATTACATATAAATTTTATTGCATTGAATCATAAATGCAATAAACAGAACCCAAAACCCAAACCTGGAACCAATAAATAAATAAATATATATATATTTTTTAAATGAAGTGGGCCGGATTGAAGTCACCGGCCCACGGGCCGCCAGTTGAACAGCCCTGCTTTAAAACGTGTTTTAAACTGCTTCATGTCTGGACATTACTTGAGCTCCACATTCAGCCTGTTCCAAAGCTTCACCCCACAGACAGAAATACAGAAACTTTTTCTTCTTATTCTAATCATCTTTGTCTGACACTGACATATAAATCTTAACTCATATTTTTTGTACTTCTCTTAAATAGTTTTTGATTTTCTCACAGTTTGTTGTTTTAATTATCATGCAACAAATTAAAAAGGTAACAGGTCATGTTTTTTTTAGGTTTATGATTTTAATCACTGGATGTCCGCCCCCCGAGCTGTTGGCTTTCAGAAACTGCGGCTCCCTGAGCAGTTTAGTTGAATAGTCCTGGTTTAAAGTGATGATTATAGATGAATATCAGACTTGAATATTTGTTATTATTGTTAATATCACCTATTAGAATCATTAATGTGACTGTACATTGTATTGTTGTCTTGAGATTATAGTCACAGGGGTTTTACTTTTTGGAATGCACTTTATTTATTAATTATTATTTTATTATTTTCTTTTGAAATTTCATTTTGTTTTATTTGTATTGTTAATGAGAAAGAAATGATGGGAATAAGGTCGCAAGAGAAGAGGTGGGCTAATATAAGTTTTTTCTTTCCCACTCCTTTGAGCATGTGACTATTGTATATTAGTAACTTCTTGTTATTATCTGTTGTTATGTTCAATAAATTTAAAAGAAAGAAACTCAGTCTTATGAGCAGCACCTTCTCATAGTGGACCAACCAGTTTGCTGGTGACAGCCAGAACTGGTTGTTCCCATGCAAAAGGAGGACCATTAGCCGAACGACTGATCGTTAGTCAACACTGCTTTTCCTGCTCTGTTATTCTCGTTTTAGGAAATATCTCAATAAAATCCTCATAGAATGAGCTGCATAATGTTTTTTTTTCCCTCTCATTAGTTAAAATGTATTTTTAATTCACCGTTTATCTCTCTGCTCCCTCCTGGCTAATTTTTATCACTTCTGATCATAAAGTCACACTTCTTATCATAAAACACAGCCCACATCCTGTGTGACAAGTTTCTAGATAAAAGTATTACCCAATTATTGTTGAATTCCTTCACAAATTCCTCAGCTTTCAGGTTGTTTTGGTGTGGAGACCTCCAGGGAGAAGTTGCTAACAATGTTACAAGAAACATTCCATGCTGAGTTATGCTTTCAGCGACAGCAGAAGCTGAAATTGGTGCAGCAGATCAGCTCAGCTTATTAGGCTTTAGGTTGTGGAGGAGCGTAACTGAACAAAATTGGAAGAATCAGTTTGAGCTTGTTTCCTCTTTTCAAACAGGAAGTCGGTCCCAGCAGTTCTTCCTTTGATTTTATCCTTGAATAAAGTCCCTATTGAGTTTGTCGATTCCTACAATTATTTGGGTATCTTGGTTGATTTGCATCTCTCTTTTAAGCTTCATGTGGAAAACTTGGTAAAGAATCTGAAAGTTAAACTGTTTTTTTTTTTCTGAAATAGATCCTGTCTATCTCTGAATTCTAGGAAACACCTTGTAACTGTGACTTTCCTTCCCTCCACTGACTACGGTGACATTATTTACATGAATGCTCCTACAAGAACCCTGCAGGTGTTGGATGCTGTCCATCATGGTGCACTAAGATTCATAACTGGCTGTAACTACCGTACCCACCACTGCACTCTGTATTCACTGGTTAACTGGACATCATTAACTTCACGCAGACTCTCTCACTGGTACATTTTCATCTTTAAATCAGTTCTCGGTCTGTTGCCTTCATACATCTCCTCCTACATGTCTCTGCGTGAGTGCAGCTACAGCGTGCGCTCTCAGGACATTATTACCTGCAGTGTTCCCTCAGTGAGGACTGAACTTGGCAAAAGGATCTTCTCCTACTCCGCTCCTGTTTCCTGGAATATCTTACAAAAAGATCTGAAGCTCTCGACCTTGACCTCTCTAAGTGGCTTTAAGAATCTGTTAAGTTCCTGGGAAAAACCAAAGCAGACGTTCTTGTTTTTAGTTTTTTTAATCGCCTTACAACCTAGCTGTTTTTTGTTTATTTTTTTAATACCATTTTATTTTCATTTGTTATTCTCAATTAGTATGCATCCTTTATGAGTGTCTATTGTCTTTGTTGTCCACTGTTGTCATCAGTCTTTGTTAAAATCAGGTCTCTCTTGTAAATGAGTCCCCGAGGCTCAATGGGATTATTAACCTGTATAAATAAAGGTTGGATGAATTGTCCCTATTTTCTTGATTTTTGTTTCAGTTTATCTTCAAATCTTATAGCAACTGTTCTGTTTTTGTAAAATTTTAATTTTTGACCTTTTCATATTTCCTTTTCATCTTCCTGTAGGACTGTCCATCCGAAGCGTGTGCTGGAGAGCTGACCGGATTCTGGCAGGAACTCAGGACAGTGAGATCTTTGAGGTAAAGAACAAAAACAAAAACTGGACTTTCTGTTGTTTGTCCTGCAGAGACATGCTCTTACAATAGTTTTATTTTGTTTCTGTCAAACAATAGATCTGCTATTAATGGTTAAAATGTTTTACATTAACGATATTATGTTTTTTTTTTTTTTAAATGAAAGGGTTGAACTATCTGTTTTCAGACAACACAACGATTCAGTCATGTTACTGATCTAAACAATCAGCGGTTCTATAAAAACGTGATGTAAAATAATGTGATTTTACATTCTATGTTACATTGGAACAAATTGATTTTAAATTGAGTTTAGATCTTTTGGTGTGGTGGCAGGTGATGGTTCGGGATCGGGACAAACCACTGCTAATCATGCAGGGACACAGTGAGGGTGAGCTCTGGGCGCTGGATGTTCATCCCAAAAAGGCTCTGGCTGTCACCGGCAGCGATGACTGCTCTGTCAGGTGGGAGCAGGGACACATCATCATCATACTGGGAGCTACCTAGTTTAAACACATCGGGCTACAGCTGGCTGCTGCTGCTTGTTGTGGAGCTTCAGAGCTGGAGATGGTTACTATTTGTCTCACTGACTTTCTGATCCCCAAAATGATTGAAAATTGTCAGACAGGTAGACTCAGGTGATTGAAAGGATGGTTGGTTGCTGCTGATTTCAGTTTTTTAATGAGGTTTTTTTCATGGGTGTCACTGAAAGGCGGCTCGGTGGCTCAATTGTTAGAGCTGCTGCCTCTCAGCGAGAAAGTTGTCTGATCAAATCCCTGCCAAGGGCCTTTCAGGGTGGAGTTTGCATGTCTCTCCATTAAAGTCAGACGCATATAGAAATTTTGGCTATCACTGATACCGTTATTGAAAGGGGAAGGCTAGTGCTGATAAACAACATAATGGCTGAGTTTTTTTTAGCTTTGTCCACCCCCATCAATCTAAGTAAACAGTGAGTGGAGCGGGGCTTCTTTATTTAGTGTGGCTGTTAGCAACCATGAAGCTAAGCAAGTCAGATCCACACTATACCTAGACCCACACTAGATTTACAAGTGGTGCACTGGTCATAAAAAGTGTTCATAACGTGCGTTCACATTTTCTATGCTCCATTATTCACCATAAAGTTATCAAGTATGTTACAAAAATATAAATTAAACAAAGAAGCACCCTTCCCCGTTCATTGTTTAAACAGTCAGTCACATATGGTGAAAGCCTAATTGGTATTGACCACAGCAGGGTTTTTTTTTATGCATAAGAGTAAAGATTTCAGACAAACATTGCATTTTATTGAGGACAACAAAGATAACGTTACTAACACTGATATATATTTACCTCTACGTTAGATTTATTGTTCTGAATAAAGTTTTACAAGGCAACAGCCCATGCTAGGTTATCTAAACTTTAGCTTGCTAACTTGAGAGGCACGTGGCTAACGACAAGCTGGTTGAATGATTGAAGATAATTTATTATTGTTCTTTTTTAACATTTTACAGATCAGTTAAAATAAACTTACCATGCTGTTCCGCAAAATACTCTACACAATATTTCTCCCTGCTTCGGCTGTGTTGAAAGTGAAAGTTAAAGTGTATGACCATGACTTGAAAGTAGGCTTGAAACTGGCTTCCTTGGATAAATAACTGTACTAATTGGCTTTTTTCCATGTATGTGAATGTTTTGTACATTGTAAAATTGTGCCCTCAACACTCTTTTCACCTCTACTACATTATTTGCCAACTCCTCCTTCAGGACCACCCCTACTCCATTTCTCTTTCTATCCTCACCATGGCAAAACAGGTTAAACCCTGCCCCAATGCTGCGAGCCTTGCTGCCTTTCCACTTGGTCTCTTGGCCACATAAAACATCTACCTTCCTTCTCTGCATCATGTCAGCCAGCTTTCTACATTTGCCTGTCATTGTCCCCACATTTAGTGTTGCAACCCTCAGTCCTACATTCTTGACTTTCCTCTTCTCCCTCGGTCTCCTGACACGATTCCCTGCTCGTGGTCTTCAACTTATGACTGTCTTATGGTGTTATGGTCTTATGATTTGTAATTTATGACAGTAACAAAAGCATTAATCATCCAAGGGGTGAATACCATTTTAAGTATTGTACCCCTGATTCAGACTGAACATGTGAGGTTATGGTTTTTGGCAAGAAAAATACTGTGGAAAAACATCTAAAATTCTCTTTCTAAACGTTTTAATCTTCTAATTGTCAGATTGTGGAGTCTGGTCGATCATGCCCTTATAGCTCGCTGCAACATGGAGGAGGCAGTGCGCAGCGTGGCGTTCAGCATGGACGGATCCCAACTGGCTCTTGGCATGAAAGATGGATCCTTCACTGTTCTGAGAGTCAGGTGGCACAAAGATGCATGATCAAACTCTACTTGATCAATAAGCTGTTTTAGGAAGTAATGGAGGTTTCTCCCCTCAGAGATATGACAGAGGTGGTCCACATCAAAGACAGGAAGGAGGTGATCCATGAGATGAAGTTTTCTCCAGATGGAGTGTACCTCGCCGTGGGTTCTAATGATGGACTTGTGGACGTCTATGCTGTTGCTCAGCGATTCAAGAAGGTCAGGAGGAGTTGGCTACATGAACTGATGTCTAATAATTTAACAAATTTTAACTTCTTTTATTTTATTCCAGGTAGGAGAATGCAGTAGGTCCTCCAGTTTTATCACACACCTGGACTGGTCTCTGGACAGTAAAGTGCTGCAGACCAATGATGGAGCTGGGGAACGTCTGTTCTACAGAATGCCCAGTGAGTCTCTGCAATCATGCTTCAAACAACTCAAACTTTAAAATTTTCTAAAATTATTAGTTATGTAAAATTTAGAAAACCAATTTTTGTCCTGTTACTCTTCAAATAGTTATTGTATTTTCTTGCTATTTTTGGCATCCAAGACACACTTGTCCACGTACAAGTCTATACATCAGTAACATGTCCCCATGATGATTCTACAATGTGCTTTCACAATCTTACCACACCCCAGCCGCCCCACTCAGGCCTAACTCATATTGACCATGACATGATGCAGCCATGAGCTAGAAGTTCACATCATGGTAGCACAAATCTGCTGCCACAGGTTTCCTCTCCACATTACATTGTTTTTGGGACCTTGTCAGGACCTGCAGAATTTTTTGTATATCTGGGAGGTTTCGAGACCTATCCATTTCAGCTTCTTCTTCTTTTTTTTATGAGAGTGAAACACCATCAGCAGCATGTCAGGATCCAGGTAACAGAGTTTTCTGTGCAGAAACTCAACCCTATCCACCCTCCTGCCTTCCTTGCCCGGCTGACTCTGTTGATCGGTTCTCCCGATATGCAAACTGATGAGGGTCCTTGTTGGTGTTGATGGTTGTTTTGATGTGAGTCATAACCAGTTTTTCGAAGCATTTAGCGACTATCGGGGTGAGGGCCACTGGCCGATAATCATTCAGACCAGTCACTGTAGAGCTTTTTGGGACTGGGATGATGGTGGCAGTCTTCAGGCAGATGGGAACTGTCTCCAGGGTAAGTGAGGTGTTAAATATGTCTGCCAGCACCTCGCAGAGCTGATCGGCACATTCTTTCAACACTTTTCCGGGGATGTTGTCTGGGCCGGTTGCCTTGTGCGGATTAATCCTCCTGAAGGTACTCCTTACTTCGGCTGAGGTCACGCTGAGATGCTCTTCATTCGGTGGTGAGGTGAGTCTGGTGCTGGGTGGTCTGTTTGGGTCTTCAAAGCGTGCATAGAACTTGTTGAGGGCATCAGGCAGAGATGGGTCTTTGGGGCATTGTTCACTCCTTCCTTTATAATCTATTATGCACTTAATGCCCCTCCACATGCCCTGAGGGTCTTGTGAGGTGAATTGACCCTCAATCCTCTGTGCATATGTGGCCTTGGCCTTCTTAATACCAGCAACCAGCTCGTTCCTTGTCCTACTCCTCTGAGTTTCCAGACCTGAAGGCAGTGTTACTGGCTTCCAGCAGGGTGCGCACCACTGCATTCTGCCAAGGTTTTCTGTTTGGGTAGCCTTTAACATATCTGATTGTAGAGATAGTGTCAATACATGTACTAATGTAACCCAGAACTGAGGATGTGTATTGGTCCAGATCAAGCAAACCTCCATTTTCAGCAGCTTCTCTGAAAACCTGGCAGTCTGTTCGATAAGAAAATCTCTCAGTATGGGGCCACTGTCCTGGATCCATCATTTAACTTTCTTTTGTACCGGTCTGGAGCGACTCAGCGTGAGGAGGTAAGCAGGGACGATTAAGATTGAGATGTGATCAGAGAATCCTAGGTGGGGGCGGGGTTCGGCTTTGTATGCATCTTTTATGCTTGTGTAAACATGGTCCAGCGTGTTATTTCCACGTGTTGTTATGCCCACATGCTAGTAAAAACTTTGGAGGCAGTCCTTTAGATTCACGTGATTAAAGTCTCCGGCTACCACATAAAGAGCCTCAGGTGTTTGTTCTACAAAGAGCTGATTATATCATGAAGTTCTTGTAGTGGTTTTTTTTCTTCCCTTGTCCTGTCTGGCATTGTAACACTTAGAATTATTGTCTGAGTGTCAAAGTGATGCCCAACAGATTTACTTTCACAAGCAGAGCATTATGGCTGGCCTTAATGCTCCACTTGATATTTAAATTAATTTTTATTAGAATTTGCTTTGGGTTTGTTTCAGATGTAATGGACATGGGGATGAAAAACAAAGAAGAAAACAAAGCAGAAAAGTGAGAGAAGGGTTAAAAGGTTCCTGCAGTGTTTCCTTAGCAATAGCATCCGGAGGAATGTAAACAACTGTGATGAAAACAACAAAGTCCATGCTCAATGGACTCATGACTGAAAAATGTTGAACTGTGATGAAAGTCACTGTGTGAACTCACGGGGTAGATTATTTGGCCGACATTTCACTGTTATTTGCTCCAAAGCCTTCGAGCATGAGCTATTTACAACAGTATAGTTCGTGCACCAACTTTTACTTACGTAAATGCACACTCCGCCTCCCCGTGATTTCCCCGTTAGCTCGCTGCAGCGGTCCACTCGAAAAAAATAGTCTGTCATCCAGCTGGAAGACTGTATCCAGCGTTTCACTTGTAATCCATGTTTCCGTGAGACAAAGCACCACACATCTCTTCTGAGGCGCCCGCTCTCAGACGAAGCAAATCCATCTTGTTGTCCAACGAGCGGACGTTCGACAGAAAGAGAGACGGCATCGGGAGTTTTCTGGCTTTAACATTAGCTCGTAGCCTCACCATAACACCCGCCCGGCGTCCTATCCTTTTAAGCCGGAAGCAGCGCTTCCTCTTCTCCCCGCTGGAACGCCTATGCTGCAGCTTTTAGGTAGATGACTTTAAGATCTGCATTCTGCCGAGTGTGGTTTTGAATTCATTGCTGATTTCTGCTATATTTCGTGGCAAATGCGCTCTTATTCTCATCAGTTCGGTTCGGCTATAGTTCACACGCATAAATCATGCAGAGTCAGGCACAGAGTCAATATCAAAACTTTCAAAAACTGGGATAGTACTGGGAGCCTGTGAAGCTGCAACTGCTCGGAGCGCGGCCATCTTGGATATATATATATATATATATATATATATATATATATATATCAGGGTGTTGGGACCCTGACTGCAAAAGCACCATTAGGAAAAAAAAACTTTGCATGACATCCACAGGTGCTGTTGTTTAAAACATGATAGTTGTGACAGTCACAATAATTTGTGATTAATTTGTTGTAATTTCACCCAAACAATTCAGAGTCAGATAGCTGATGTTTCATTCTTCTATTTTTTAACACATAAAATGTCAAATAAGAAAAAAATAAATGAGCTTCATGGTAAGTTAATTAGGGCAGCACGGTGGCGCAACTGGTAGAGCTGCTGCCTCTCAGCGAACAGGTCCCTGGTTCAAACCCCGGTCCAGGGGCCTTCTGGGTGGAGTTTGCATGTTCTCTCCGTGCATGCGTGGGTTTTCTCCGGGTACTCCGGTTTCCTCCCACAGACCAAAAACATGCATGTTAGGCTGATTGGTAACTCTAAATTATCCCTAGGTGTGAGTGAGAGAGTGAATAGTTGTTTGTCTCGTTTGTCTCTATGTGGCCCTGTGATGGACTTGCGACCCGTCCAGGGTGTACCCCGCCTCTCGCACAGTGATTGCTGGACATGGGCACCAGTGACCCCCGTGACCCAAAATGGAATAAACGGGTAAAGATAATGGATGGATGGATGGATGGATGGATGGGAAGTTAATTAACACCTGCCAGTTGTTCTGTGTCTTATACAAGTGAAATATATTTATCAAAAAATGCTTTTGAAGATAAGTTATTAATATTACTGGCTGCCGTTTATAGAAATTAACTATTACCTCATTTGTTCCTTTCCTCAGTGGGGAAACCCATCATCAATAAAGAGGAGGTCAAAGGTCAGCACTGGGCCACCTGGAGCAGTGTCCTGGGCCCAGAGGTCAGTGGTATCTGGCCAAAATACTCAGATTCAACACAGATCAATTCTGTGGATGCAAATCATTCAGCAGGAGTGCTTGTCACCGGAGACGACCTCGGCCTCGTCCGGCTCTATCGCTTCCCTTGCCTCAGAAAAGGTTCTTACTTCTCCTGCTGCCACTGATTTGATTCTGTTTCTTTCTGTTTAATGTTTTGTTTTCCACTCAGGAGCCAAATTCAAGAAGTACGTTGGCCACTCAGCCCATGTGACTAATGTCCGATGGTCATATGACCAGCAGTTGGTACTGACCACAGGTGGAGCCGACCATGCCCTTTTCCAGTGGAGGTTTTTATCTGATGATGTCATGAACGGAGGTCTAGACGTCAACCTAGAAGGTGGGATTGAACATCATGAGCAGTTAAAATTAAGATAGAAAGGTTAAGGTTTTCTGTAAGGCTCTGATCACCTTTAGTGGAAGACATTAAATATAACCACTGCTCTGGCAGCCATTTTGTATCAAGTTGAAAAATTATACAGTAGTAAGTACATGTCCAGTAATTACTTTCTGATAGTTTCATTTTATACTAAGATAATTCTCTGTGTTTGGTCAAGTGTTAATTTGTTTCCATCCACCCATCACCTTTACCCGCTTCTTTCTTTTCGGGTCACAGGGGTCGCTGGTGCCCATATCCAGCCATCACTGTGCGAGAGGCGGGGGACACTCTGTACAGGTCTCCAGTCCTTCACAGGGACACATGGAGACAAATGAGACAAACAACCATTCACTCTCTCACTCACACCTAGGGACAATTTAGAGTTACCAATCAGCCTAACATGCATGTCTTTGGTCTGTGGGAGGACACCGGAGTACCCGGAGAAAACCCATGCATACATGGAAAAAACATGCAAACTCCACCCAGACAGGTCCCCAGCCGGAATTCGATCTGGCAACCTTCTCGCTGAGAGGCAACAGCTCAACCAACTGTGCCGCTGTGCTGCCTCATTACTTCGTTTCTGTTGGCAAAAACTAGTTGTAGCTGAGAGTTGTCCCAGGGGCTGTGGTCTCACAGTGATCAATTATAATCCTGAGGCTGCAGGTTTGAACTAAGGGTGTCTGGAAGGGCATCTGGGGTAAAATTTTTTCCGAACCTTTCATGTGAGTTATCTTGCTGTGGCGACCCCTGCAGAAGGGAGTAGCCAAAATAAAACCAACAATGACAACAGCTAAGAGTCATCCCCAGCTCATACTTCTAGCACTAACAGATTGCATGGAGTCTTCATTTTAAACTCTCACATCCAAGACGGTACACAATAATATGTCCTTTATAATTAGTTTCCTCCATATTGAGATTTGGGGTTTTTCAGAAAATATCTGGAACTACTGTACATCCCAGAATATCTAGACCAGGTGTATCAAATTCACTTACAAATGGGGATAAAAAAAACAACAACAAACAACCTAACTTAGTTTACTAAAAGGCATTTCATTAAATACAATAACTCAAGTCATTTACCTGACAAATTTAGCTGGATACTCGTTTATCAACAAATATTTGATCTGTTTTGTTTTACATTGTCTGTTGCTCTTTCTGCATCAAAATCAAATGTTACAAAAAAAAAAAAAATTCAACTTATTTTTCTTGGCTTCACAGTTGGCCAACTTTCATGATAAGTGTGGACTTAATAAAAAATGTTCTGTTTTTATTAAGCAAAATGAGAAACAATAAAAATATTTTGCATTTAAAATAGCATCCCAAGGGGCCAAATTCTTAGTGAGTGCCAGATTTGGCCCACAAACCCTAATGTTTGACACAAGTGGTCTAGAGCTAACCACACTAATGTAAAAATAAAAATAATCAATAACTTGATGGATCACTAGTGGCAAAGTTGCCAAGGTGAGTAAAAAGAGATCAATAGCAGGAGGCTTTATTGTAGAGCCTGACCGATATGGAAATTTTGGCTATCGCCAATACCGATCTTGGGAATCGAAGACTGATGCCGATAACCAATATAATGGCTGAATATTTTTGAACTTTGTCCACCCTCAGGAATCTAAGTAAACAGCTACTTTTAACCCAGTTTTAACACTTGAAGTCTTAAAACAGTCTTCCTAATGTGTGTTCACATTTTCTATCCTCCATTATTCACCATAAAGTTATCAAGACTGTTGCAAAAATATAAATGAAACAAAGAAACATCTTCCCTGTTCATTGTTTAAACAGTCAGTCACGTAGAGTGAAGGTCTAATTAGAACTGACCGCAGCAGCGGGTTTTTTTTTCCTTTGCAGAGAAGTAAAGACAAACCTATAAAGGTTAAATCAGGTTCTCTGGCTGGATTCTTCTTTGTTGAAATGTTTCATCTTTTATCCAAAAGACTTCTTCAGTCTGAGGTGCTGCAACAAACTCAGTCTTATAAACAATGCCTTCTCATGGGGGATCAACCAGTTCGCTGGTGACAGACAAAACGAGTTGTTCACATGCAAAAGGAGGACCATCAACCTAACAATTTATTGTTAGGCACACAAGAAAAAGTAAAGGATGGCAAGCTGACTTTCTTGGACTGTGAGATCTCAGTCTCTGATGGAGGACATTTGCAAACAGATGTGTAAAGTGTAGTGTAGATCAATCACATCAAGAAAACTAAAGAGTCACTGGTCAAAACCCACCACACAGACCAATACTTCCAGTTTAACACATCAACCGCTGGAGCACAAGTTAGGAGTCATCAGGACTCTACCACAGAATGGGCAGAGTCCCCACTAACTCAGGAGCCAGGGAGAAGGAGAAATACCTCACAAGACAGGCTCTAGAACAATGTGGATATCCTAACTGGGCCTTCCTGAAAGCAGAGAAGAAACCCAAACAGGACTCCAGTCAGCCATCAGGTGAAAAGGAGGAACCCAGA